AATTTTAATTTTAATTTTATTCTCATTGTTTCTAACAATCAAGTTAGCATAATCAAAACTCATTTTCACACTTGTGGTTATTGTTACCATATATGTTTACCAATATAGTGGAAAATACTTGTCAAACGTGGCAATACTAGAATCATACATGGTGCTCCTAGACAAGATCTCTCTTGACAAATAGCAAAACCCTTTTTAGTCCCAAAAAAGCAAAACAGGAGAAAAAGTATTTCATAATCTTTCATGTATTATTTATTTGTGCACCTTATCCACTATATTGCCTTCATCATGTCTCCTTTCTCTTCCACCACACAGTAATTCTCTCCTCATTCCTTATTAAATATTTTAATTTATTTTTCTTCTCCATTTGGGAGGTAATTAACAACAACAAGAAGAAAAAAACACAAAAACAAAAAGATATTTGCAATTTTTGTCTGCTTAAAGTTGGTTGTTATGCCTCATTAAATAATTGATGTTTGTGCAAGAGATGGAACATTATCCCAAAGTTATAGATTTTTTTTTTTACTTTACAAATTGAAGGCGCATGCTATAATTTATTATAAGAAGAAATAAAGAGATTAATGTATGAAAGATAATTAATAAAAAGAATAAAAATAAATAAAATTTCATATATACAATATTTCACTTGTTAATGTTATATTATTTTATTTGAATGTATGACTGCATATATAACTAATGATAATATAATTTAATTATGATAAAAATATATACATTGATCTTTGGAGTCTTTAAGCCATGAAGGAGCTCCGTATAAGTAAATGAATTAGAAATACTTTTTAGTATTAGAAGATAAAAGAAGTTTTATATTTAAAAATTAGAAGATAAATCATAAATATATAAGTTTAGGAAATATCTAACCAAATATCTTAAACTATTTTAGTGGAATATACTATCATTAATCATACTTAATATAAATAATTTAATATGGTATCATGAACCATTCAATTGGGATAAAAAAAGAAAAAAATGAAAGAATGAAATATGAAAAAAAGAGATAAGTTGAATAGACTTGAGGCTTTTGAGACTAAAAAAAAAAAAAGTACAAGCACAAGCAATAAGAAAATGAAAATGAAAAAAAAAGAGAGAAAAAAATAATTGAAGAGAATATTAGAAAATAAAAGAACTCCCATATTTAAAGATTAGAAGATAAATCATAAATATATAAGTTTAAAAAGTATTTAACTAAATAGTTTAAACTATTTTGATAGAGTATACTATAAGGCTGTGCAAAAGTTTTCTAGTCCTATATGGTCCAATCCAACCCAAGATAGTTTCAGTCTTGTTCAGTTCGTATAGACACTGGTCCTTCAGGATCAAAAAGACTAAAAAGATTAGACTATTTGTTCGGGTTGGATTAGACAAGAGACTAGGCATCTGGACCACTTGGTCCAATCCAGTCCTATTAATTTTTTTATTATAATTATAATTAATTTATTTTTGACAAATGTTTGAAGTGTAATTGATGTTAAGAAGATGATTGTATGAAAATTTGTTGAGTTTGTTTCTAAATTATTGTTGTAATGTAGTGTTGTTGAATTTTATTGAGTGTTGTTTTTGTTTAAGTTATAAATTTAAATCATATAACAGAAATATTTTTTTTTTCTCTTATTGTTAGAAATTATTATAAATTTATTATTATTATAAGTATTTTTACTATCTTAATTGAGTTTATTATGTTGAAATGGATTATTGGCTCTCAGAATAAAAAGGAAAAAAAGCTAAGTAAGTACTGGACTAATAGGATCAGTCTTTCAGTCTTATGGATCAAGTCCAGTCTTGTTAATCTTTGGGTTATCACTGAACAAGACCGAATTACAAATTGCCTAATCTAGTCATTTTCATGAAAGAGATCGGACTTCAGGTTAGGGTGAAATCCATTGCCATCCTATCTTTTGTGCAACCCTAGTATACTATAATTAATCATATATACTTAATATAAAAAATCTAAGATTGAGTATTAAAAAAAAAAACCTGTTTCCATTTTGATAAAACAAGGAGACATATTTGGATGAAGGTTATTTGCTTTTAAATTACATTCACAACAAATTATTTTGGCCCAAAAACGATTAGGGGACTTCATTGTATCAAAGTTAATTAACACATACCACCAAACACTTGGTTTCATTGATAAAGAAACTGTATTAACTTCAATAAAAAAAACTTGAGTTCTTCGAACCCTGAAAATACAATAATATTGCTGTTAAAGCTTTATTTCCAAGAGAGTCTCGCCTCTGTTTGATCCAATTGGTCAAGCTCCATTCTTTCAAACTCAATATAACGCAGGCCAAGAATACCACACGCGCGCGCGCGCGCGCGCACAAGTCACACACACAGATTCCATCTATGTTTATAGCTCTATCCCTCTTTCGCATTTGAAGAGGAATTGTGTTTCATATCCAACAAAAGGGGAAAACCTCTATGTTTATCGTTAATTTTAGCAATTTAAATTAAAAAAAAAACGCAATCATTTTTATGCACGATGTTACTTTTTAATATTTAAAAAATTATGTAAGGATGATGTCCGATTAAAATATTGTTCAATTATTAGAAGTTAGCTAGCATAATTTTTTCCCCACATGAGTGCTTTTGTTTTAAGTATTGTCAGGCACAAAATGTGGGTACTTTTTTAACAAGGATTCATAATTTGGTTTATCATATTATAAAAGATTAATTTTTTTTACTAGATCTAACCCTCTTATGTTTTACCTTATATGGTTCTATAAAGAATTGCACAAAAGATTGGATGACACTAGATTTCGGTCTAACTCAAAATTTAATTTTTTTATGAAAAGGATTAGGTTAGGCGACCCGTAGTTTGGTCTTGTCTATTGATAATTCAAAATTTAACAGGACCAGACTTGATCCATAAGATTGGAAGACTGATCTTATTAGTCTAGTATTTACTTAGCTTTTATTTTTCTTTTTTCTCTACAAGAGGCAATAATTTATTTCAACTTAATAAACTCAATTAAGATAATAAAAACACTTATAATTATAATAAATCTATAACAATTTTCAATAAGAAGAAAAAAATTTAAGTTGCAGTCCAAAAAATTTAAATTTATAACTTCAACAAACTTCAACAACACTACATTACAACAACAATTTAGAAATAAACTCAACAAATTTTCATGCAATCATCTCTTTAGCATCAATTACACTTAAAAAATTTGTCAAAAATAAATTAATTATAATTATATTAAATAAATTAATATGATTGAACTAGACTAAGTGGTCTAGATGTCCAGTCTCCTATCTAATCCAATCCGAAGAAATAGTTTGATCATTTTAATTTTTTTAATCTTAAAGGACTAGTGTTTATACAAATCAAATATGACTAGATAATCTTGGGTCAAATTAGGTTGGACAAGACCAGAAAATTTGTGTACAATCCTAGTTGTACATTACAACAACAATTTAGGAATAAACTCAACAAATTTTCATACAATCATCTCTCTAGCATCAATTACACTTAAAAAATTTTTCAAAAATAAATTAATTATAATTATATTAAATAAATTAATATGATTGAACTGGACTAAGTGGTCTAGATGTCCAGTCTCCTATCTAGTCCAACCCGAAGAAATAGTTTGCTCATTTTAATTTTTTTAATCTTAAAGGACTAGTGTTTATACAAACCAAATATGACTAGATCATCTTGGGTCAAATTAGGTTGGATAGGACCAGAAAATTTGTGTACAATTCTAGTTGTACATTACAACAACAATTTAGAAATAAACTCAATAAATTTTCATGCAATCATCTCTTTAACATCAATTACACTTAAAAAATTTGTCAAAAATAAATTAATTATAATTATATTAAATAAATTAATATGATTGAACTGGATTAAGTGGTCTAGATGTCCAGTCTCCTATCTAGTCCAACCTGAAGAAATAGTTTGCTCATTTTAATTTTTTTAATCTTAAAGGACTAGTGTTTATACAAACTAAATATGACTAGATCATCTTGGGTCAAATTAGGTTGGACAGGACCAGAAAATTTGTGTACAATCCTAGTTGTACATACTATTTTTCTCTTTTTCAAATAAAATGTGTGAATTTTGGAAATTCAGGGCGGTCCTATGGGCCTATGTTTCAACCCCAAGGGACTGTTTTGGATCTCTAGTTTACAAATCTTGGGCTTATTAGATTGCGATGCCCAGTGCGTTGGTTGAAACCCTTACGGGCCTTTTACCACAAAAAAAAAAAAACCTGTTATGTGCCTGATTGAGCCATTTTGCCGAAACGTAATAAAAGCTTTTTATTTTTCCAAAAAATAAAAAGGTAATATGGGTTAACTCATTTGGCTGAAGGGCTAAATTATTACACCACTTGATTTGATAAAATATTTTATTTATAATTAAATTAATTACTGTTCATTATGATTTTGATCATGGACTTTTGAACTCATGTTTTAACTAATTCAATAATTAGTATGGCTTTCGATATTTTTAAAAATATAAAAAATAATATCATTTCAATTATTTTTTAAAAGAAAAAAAGTAAAATAAATGCTGATCTGATAACACAGACAAGACAACCCTATAGTTGCCGACGTTAAAACTTGAAACCTGTAATCTAAGTGTGCGTTTGGTTTTCAGTTTGTCAAAAGTCAGTTTGATAAAAGTTCATTTGGCATAAGTTAATTTCGTGAAAGTCAGTTGTTGTAACGAAATTTGTGTTTGGATATATTTTTTCAAAAGTTAGTTTGGCAAACTGAAAGTTGTTTGGATTAATAAAAATTTATGCTTTTCAAATGTACTTTTTAATATGTAATGACCAAAAAGGACATTGATTTATGATAATTTATAATTTTTATTATACAAATGTAATATATTAAAAAAAAGGTGAATCAAATTTAAAATGACATAAAATTTAAAATGTTAAATATTAAGAATTAAAAAAATAAAATTTAATTTTGGAAAAAAATTATGTAATAAATAGTTAAACATTCATTAATATTGAATAGTTACATGATTAATGGTTCGATCTATAATATACAATCTGATCTCTAATAGAATCTCGAACCCTATTCATTTCTCTATCAGAAGCTATGCTTGAAATTGCACTTGGAATTGTTGTTGAAAATGCAGGCTCATCAGTATCATCGATAGTGTTAACCATATTTTCATCCTCAAAATGCCTGAAATCAGAATCAGTTACAGATTTTCTTCTAATAAAATTATGTATAGCCATTGTTGCACCAACAATACGAACTTGCTGCACAAATGGATAGCTAGGCATATGTCGTAAGATTGTGAATCTATTTTTCCAAACCCCGAAAGTCCTTTCAATTGTGGTCCTTAAGCTTGAATGATAATAATTAAAAATCTCATTATTATTTGCAAATCCAGATGAACGCCTGAAATCTGGGAGGTGGTACCTATGAGATCTATAAGGACCTAAATATCCACGTGGAGTTGGATAGCCAGCATCTAACAAATAATATTTACCTACCAATAAAAAAATAGAAATTATAAGATCCCAAAAAATATTAAAATAATTGTTTAAATTAGATAAATATAAAATATACCTTGGGGTGGATGTGGAAATTTCATGTCTGGCCTTATGAGAGCATAGTCAAACAAACGAGCATCATGAGCAGTCCCTTCCCATCCAGCCATGACATAAGTGAAGCACATATCCCAATCACATGCGGCTATTATATTTTGTGTTGGAATACCTTTCCTTCCAATATATTTCCCTTGCTCTTCAACACTAACCACACACGGGATATGTGTGCCATCAATTGCTCCTATGGCATCTTTAAAGAATGGCCAATATCGCGGATCACCTAAAATTTTTGGATGAATATCTTGAAAAGTGCGATCTTTTGGTTGGATATATTCCTTTGCTAGCTTCTCACAAGCATGTAATACATTTCTAAAATGCCTGTGAACAGTCTCTGCTGAATGTTGAAATCGTTCTTGTGCCATCCTATTCCCCACTCCATGTCCAACAATATTTAGGAACATACCGACCATTTCATGAATCCCTGTTCTTCTGGTTGGACGTAGGCCATGTTGCACTAGTTCGTCACAAAGTTGAAGAAAAATATCTTTTTCCATACGAAACATATCATAACAACGTTGAGGATGCCTTTGCAAAATTTCTTGCACCCATGCATGACCTGATTGCGAACTGGTTCTACAAGGCTCTTTCAATAAAGTTGTTGAGTAATTGGATATTATTGCAGTAATAGCCTCAATCTCATCGTCTTCCGCATGTACAAGTAATTGTAATAAGCAAGATTGCGTATTGTCATCCATAAAAACTGTATAGCATAATTAAACAACCATTACACTATTTGTCCATGACTTAACGTAAGAAACACATAACACAAGAGTCAAATAACACAGTCAGTTTCAAAACAAATTAACAACATGAACGACACTAGCTAAATTTTAAAACATTAGAAGGCAAGCTAAGATGATCTAATTTCATTTTTTGCCCAAGCACCTCAAATAGGCCATTAATGCTCTTCTGTTGTCCCTAAGCCCAATATACATGTCCCTTGCGGTCTTATCTAGCAAGGCCACAGCACACTGTCCAAGAAGCACCTCATCATAAGCAATCTCCTCGATTCCATAAAGTTTCTTTGCAACCTCCAACACATTTTGGTCAACTGGTTTTGTTCCACCCTCTATGGAATTAAGAATTGACTTCAATGTTGAAACCCTATCCTCTTGTGTGGACACCAATCGACTCACTGAATCAACCATCACCGTTGCAAGACGTTTTCCCTTTTTGTTTTGACCACTTTCACCTCTCTTTCGCTTGCTCCCTGAATTAGTACCACCACTGTATGCATTATTCAAGTTAACTTGCCCAATTCCTGGGAGAGCTCCTCCATTAATGTTTCTTATATCATCACTGTCTCCTGATCCTTCGGTTAAATCCAATTGAGGCCTGTACACATCTTGTGGATCATCAGCCGCAGGTGTCCACATGTAAGTGCCCTGTGCTGCAACTGGCTGGAACAACTGTGTCAATTCTTGTGCATATGGAAGTGGTCTATGCCTAAATTTCCTATACTCAGGATTCTCCTACACATTTACAAGAACTGAGTCTAGTATATCTATAAAATAAAATATGAAATGTTTAGCATGCCATGTATAATTGTATACCTTAATCTTTTGACTCCACCACTCCTCTGGTGCTGAAACAGTATTCTTTTCACTATCCCATCCCAAACCGGTCTCTTTGTTTAATAGCTTGTCCCATATATTCCAATCTTTTCTCAAATTGTCCCATTTATTCTTCAACTGCTTCTTATCATAACTTCTTGAACTCAAAGCATTGAACTGTTGCATTAGCGCCTCCCAACCCTCCTTTGATAAGGTAGAGCCTTTACGCTCATTTTTCTTAACTTGCTGGAGAGCTAATTTAATAAACAATTCGATTTCTTCGGTAGTCCATAGTGCCTTCTCTTTACTCATTTTTACTATCAAAATATCACATTCTCAATACAAATGAAATTTGAGGAGTAAAAATTCATAATTGAGTTAGAGTTAAAATATTAAAAATTTTACTATCCTTTTTTATCCTTCTTAAAAATTTTACTATCCTTTTTTTGGAAACAAAAAGAGAAAAAGATTATTCGATCATAGTTAATTAACCACTTGTTATCTTAGCCACATATACTTGTCGAAAGAGGCAGTTATTCAAAAGCAGCCATAAGATAATTTCTGTACTCACTCAAAAATTCAAATCATATAATTCAATAGTATGTATTAAAATAAGCAAGTTTGACCAGAAATTTGTAGCCTTTCTCATCCCTTCATCCATTTTCAAAAAATAAATTAGCTCAAATTCTTATCAAAATGAAATTAAAAAAAAAACAAAGCAACATAGAACAATCAATAGATCAGTCACCAGAATATATTTCCAAAACACCGTGTCATATTTTAGAACATCAGCAAATCAACAGAATAATTATAAAATGCAGTCATAAATAATGTTCTTGCTTGCTTATTTTTTCTTGTTATGTGAAGCTATCAAAAGAAGGCAATTAAAAAAAATCACACCAGTCTGAAAAATAAAAAAAAACATACCAGAATGCTTCATGGTGGTCTAAAAAACGAAAGAAACAAACTGGAACAGAATAATTACAATATGCAGTCATAATTAATCTTCTTGCTTGCTTATATTTTCTTGTTATGTGATCAAAACAAGGCAATTAAAAAAAATTCACACCAGTCTGAAAAAGAAAAGAAACAGACCGGAATGCTTTCACGGTGATCTGAAAAATGAAAGAAACAGACCAGAATGCTTTCACGGTGGTCTGAAAAATGAAAGAAATAGACCGGAATGCTTTCATGGTGGTCTGAAAAATGAATGAAACAGACCGAAATGCTTCACGGTGGTCTGAAAAACGAAAGAAACAGACCGAAACAGTGGCTTCACGGTGGTCCAAAAAAGAAAAGAAACAGATCAGAACAGAGCTTCACGGTGGTCCGAACAAGAAAAGCAACAGATCACATCGAAGAGCAGAACAAAGCAGCACCATTTCCAGATCTGACAAAAAAAGCTTGGAGGCTATCATACCTTGCAGATCGAAGAGCAGATCGGAGAAGAGGATTGGAGTTTCACGAGCTGGTCGGAATGTTCACCTTTGCACTCCACAGGTTGCAAAAGCTGCTGGTCGGAGTTCTCTCAGCTCCGAAATGCCGCCCAAGTCCCAAAATGAGCTTGATCCGTGAAAGAGATGGGGAGAACTTAACGGTGAAATGCAGCCACCATTGATGAAGGAAGGAGAAGCTTAGGGAAGGAAGAGATCCGGATCTGTGATGGTGGAGGAGAGGCGAAGGAGAGAAGGAGAAGAGATGGCCAAACGGTGGACTAGCGGCGGACGAGTGGCGGACTAACGGCGGACGATCGGCGGACACAGAGCAGCAGCAAAGGACGAAGAACACTGATGTATCAGCTGCACAAATGAGGACCACGAGAGGAGAGTATGCGTGATATGTATCAGCTGCAAAAGTGAGGGGCATCATGGTCAATAAACAAATTAGGTACCAGCAATAAATGGATGCCAACTGATCACGTTTTGAAAGCAAGTGGGAGCAGCTTTGCAAATTTTTTCATTTCAAACGTATTTAAAAGTCAGTTTAAAAAGTGCATTTTGTCTGGAAAAAAAAGCCAAACAACATTTTACATTCAAAAAGTTAAAACTTACTTTTGAAATGTAAACGTAATGAAATCCAAACGCACGCTAAATCTCTGTCTGTGCGCGGAGGGCACGTGTAGAATCGGATCTAAATCCCAATCTTAACCTAATCTGAATATTAAATAAACGCAAGACCTTTTAAGAATAATATTTTTTATGATAAAACCTTTAAAGAATAATATTTGTTAGAATGCTAGGGAGCAAAATGATATGACTCTGAAAGCCAGAGGAATGAGTTCTATTCTTTCTTTTCGCCAAAAGACGAATTTCACTGTTGAAGATTCTTCAATTTATATTCTCAACTTCAAGCAAAGTTTGTTCACTTAATCACAATATGATTAATGTATTTTAATTAAGTGTTTATACCTAATTTGTAAGCACTCCTTTCATCCCAAACTATAAGATACCTTTAAATAAAATTTCACATGCCAATAAAATTTATTAAATACATTTAACAACCTTATATTTTCAAAATCAAAATATAAACTTTCAAAAATACCTATAATTTAATATATTAAAAAGAAAGATAAAAATTAATTATAGAAAGAGAAAGAATAATATTAAAATTGATGTATTTAATAAAACTTTAATTTACTCAAAGTGTCTTATATTTTAGGATAAAAACTCATTCAAAAGTGTCTTATAATTTGAGATGGAGGGAGTATCTTATATATATATATATATATATATTGATTCCATCAAGTTCTTCTCAGTTTCTACTACATCTAATTCCCATTATAAATCATTTTTAATTACTTGACTGAAATAAAGAAAAGTATAATTAATTCATTAAATTTATCTTAAAATTAAAAATATTCTAATTTTATTCATATTAAAGAAAGAAAGAAATACAATAGTCGAAAAGCATCTAGAAACACTAAATTAAAATTAAATTCTCTTTTTAATAATTTGTTAAGGGCAAAACTGAAAAATGCTGGTTAATATCTCTTTACATGACTTATATCAAGGACTAATTGATTCTTTTAGAATGTGTCCTCTAATGATTACTAAAAGAAATACTTTATAGGTAATCTTTTACAAGTTTTTCATCATATTTTTCCATTAGAGTCATTTAATAGATACTATTAAATTAATAATTATGATGGAAAAATGGATTGAAAAGAAAGAGTAAGAGTAAATTATATTTTATTTCATTTAACCAAAAATATTTTTTGAAAAATAATTCTTTTTTTTTGGAATTACAAAGGAAAGAAAAATAATAAGCTATAACCTAATTGGAGATAAAAGAAGAGAAGTCTCTCCTCATCCACTAAAAAATACACCAATTAGAAAGTTCTCTTAGCTAAACAATGAGTATAAAAATTAACTTCTCTAAACATAAAATTTATCATAAAATGCTAGTCTTTATTAAAAAAAAACCTAGTCTGTTCAATAATATTTTTGTAAGGATGTAGATCCAGATATTGCTCTTGAAAATGAGTCAATTTTAAGAACATTAGTTAATTTTAACTAATTTTTTTAATATGTACAAAATAATTGAAAGATATTTTATAAATAGGAAGGGAGAGAGCATAATGTACTAAATTTATAAAAACAACTTCATGTATCACAATTTATAAACGTAATTATAAACATTATTTCTTAGTTGAAAAAAATGATTATTACTTGACTTAAATTCTTCCAAAATATAAAACTCACAAAATCTACTTTTATATACTACTTCCATGATTTTTTAAGGAGTTGGATGTTAAAAAATATAAAATATTTTTAATTTTTTAAAATATAATCATTGCTTTTAAAAAAAAAATGCCTCCATTAATAATAAATTTATATTTATTATAAAATATTTAACAGAGATATTTATGAAAAGATAAGGTTAGTTTGAAAGTAAATAATTATTTTATTATAAGGTGAGATTTAATTAAAAATATTTTATATTTTTAAATAAGTAGAGTAATTATTATCTGAATTTGGTTCAATTAATAAAAAAAATTATATTAACTTAATAAAAGATTTTGAATCCTGAAAATACAATAATATTACAATAAAACTTCTACGATCACGTGTTGATTCCACATGAAAAGCAGTGGGAAGACTGGAAAAGCAGGCACAAAAGGCAAAGGGTGCTCGGATCAGATG